GGGGGGGGTCATCTTCTGAGGGGAAAGGGAGACTGGGGGTGAGAGAGGAGGGGTAAAGAAAGAGGCCCCCCAAGGTTCAACAAGCTGGGCCGAGGTGATGAGTATTACCTACTTACCCATCATGCCGGAGTTCATGAAAGGTGTCGGGGACAAGCCTTCGTGGGACACTAATCGACTGTCGCTCAAGTGATCACCATAATGAGGGCTGTCTGCAAAACCCTGGGGGAAGAAGGATCACATTATTAGGCTGCACCGCTAATCGAGTGCTATGACACTCCTCTAATTACTGAGGGAGGCGCTGCCATTGGTCAACTGTCCCCCGAAACGGAAAAAAAAACAAAAAGGGGAAAAGAAAAAAAACTATTTTAATCTTGTTTTGTTTATAAGTGGGGAAAACGTCACCCCGGAGAGCAGGGAACAGGGAAAGCACAGATGTTTCGGAAGACAGACGTGCCCGCAGCTGCCTTAAGGTTACCGCTGTTCCACTGGCACTCCTCACACGAAAGTGTGTTTGCAGCGGTGTGTGCTTGTGCACAGCCGCCACTTCTCTTATTAACACACGCAAGCGCGCGCATGAGAGCGCACCGCTAGTATGCTAATCACCGTCACCGCAGCGACGGACCGACAAAGCCGCGGAGATCGAGCGGACGCCGACCCCACTCCACTGAACGAACCTGGGTCATCAATCATCTTGGGGAAGCTGGTATCGAGCTCTGGAAGCCCCACCAGTGGTGCCGACCTGCTAACCAGGCTACAGCCCATCATCTAGCAAAACAACGTAACAATTACCGACATAGCAATAACGAGGCTTATTTCAAATACAAATTATTACGTATGCGCGATAAAAAAAAAATGAAAAGCCCTCCGAATAAAAGGCATGATTTCCGGAGCTCCGGAGGTAATTTCGGCAGTGCTGCACAGAGCCTTTTTCACGACAGTTATCGGGCTCCTTGGCTTTGGTCTAAATATCAGTCACAGTTGGGTCTTTTAAGAAGCCCGGAGCTGTCGGGGTAGCGGCTGGCGGCCCTGCAGCAGCGCTAATCCCAGAGCCTGTGAAGATCTGCCTCCAGCTCGGCCCAAAACTACATTAACTGCCGGCAGCGGGGAGGCACGCTGCCGGCCTCCATTTCTATAAGCTTTTTCACAAATTCATAGTCCTCGCTTTCCGCACACGCCACAGAAATATATGTACATATCTCTGGCCGGCCTGCCAGAGAAGCCGCTGAGATTGCCCATTGTGCAGCTGTCAGAGCCACCGTTTCCCCATCAATAACGCCATTAGCCCGCTCATTATTAGCGCCCGGATGGGGCACCGTGGCCCTCCTGTCTCCAAGGGCTTTCTCACGACAGGACCATGTCCTTCCGTCGCCATTTAAGGAGAACTCCAAAAAATGCTGCTGGATTGGAACCTGTGTTCCTCCCCGCCCAAAAAAAAAAATGGCTGCCAGATCATAACAGGGAGGACCGGGTGAGGCAGCAAAGAGAAGCGCATAGTAATAAAACAGCGGCGGCTCCCCCCGGGGGACAATCACTTCATAAATCACATGACATTCATCACCGGGGAACCGCGCAGGTCCCCGGCCGTTCAGGTGGATGTTGATGTGCGCTGTCAGTGTGACATGAGGCCTGGCTACCGCTGGCTAAATAACCGGCAGGCCACTGCTTAAGGACATGCATCACAGAACCCCAGGCCGGTCCAGGTGAGCCACTGCCTGTGCTCATGACCGAGAGGGGGGGGCAGGCCAGACCGGTGGTGGCGTACGCGGGCGAAGCAGCCCGGGCAGGCGGGCAGCGACCAGTGGGGGGTCCCTCACAGCAGCGGGCCCTGCTGTCAAGATGACGCGCCTGCGGCCGCGATCATCCAGGACGCGCGGAGGAGCCCGGCCAAGGTCAGCCCGACCGGCTGGGGTCCCCGTTCACTGCCGAGCCGACCCCGCGTGTCAGCACACAGAGAGACTCGCGCTGCGGCCCTGAGGAGGCTGACAGAGACGGAAAACACACTGATCCAGAAAAAAATGAGAGAAAAAGCCCGGTTTGAAAAATAACACAAGATGCACAAATAAATATTCACAAAAGAAGGAAACGCTCAAAATGGAACCACACTCGGACAATTCCTACTGCGCTCTTCTGAGAACTGATGCTGGTAAGGCAGACAGGCCCTCTCTAAAAGTCTATCCTCACCCTAAATCTTACATCTCCAGCACCATAAAAATGTAATTAGTCGGTTTCCCTCTGCAGTGGCCTTTCTATGGCGCCCCCCCATCGGACAGCCCCTGACACATCATCTCACGCTGCTGTCACTCCACGGGCCCTGCTGATGGAGTCCGGAGGCACTGCTGTACGTCCCCCACCATGTTTAATGGACGCAACATATGCAGAAGGCACTCTGATTTGATGCAGAATTTCTGGGTAAAACAGGGATGTGTGAGTTCACAGGCCGGCGAGCCGATCATGAAAAACACAGCCGGGCCACAGCCGGGGGAGCGAGACCGATCAGCTTTGCAACAGACAGACAAATGGACAAAACACAACGGACAAAATCCCTTTCATGATTTCAGGTGTCGAAATAAGTGTTGAAAATACCTAAATACTGCCACTGAAACTGTGGGCAAAAACCCAACATGAGGTTCAGAGATGAATCAGGATGCGTGTGACTGACATTCAGGCCTGTTTTGTTGACGTCAATGTGAACGGTCATGTTTACTGTGAAAACGGTGCAGCCTGGACTAACTAACCCTGCTTCCCAGGAGCTGACTCCCGTCTTCACTGCGCAGAGACGCGAACATCTGTCTGTTTACGGATGCCTGTCCCTCACCGCGTGTGTATGGGGTGGGGGAGGGGCTGATTTATATGCACCTGGAGCAAAAATATCAAGCGTCTCAACCCTGCAATTCAAATCAGCCTCCTGGCAGAGTCGCAGCCCGCAGACGTTCGTGCGGGAAGGACACTGGGAAGATAAACAAGGTAAGGCGGGAACGCAGGCCACGCCAAGCTGACATGCTGCTGATTTCTGATGGGAAGTGACAAGAGAGTGACGTGTAATGAAATGCATACAGGGCAACAGTAACAGCCAATGTGTTAAAGAAAGGAATACATTCTCAAAACAAACAAGCGGCAGAAGCGGCCAGCGGCATCGCCGGTCAATGAGATGGGGGGGTAAAATCGTGTCCTGGGGCGGGGATTCGGGGAAACAGCCGCCAGCCCCGTCCCGGCTCGCTCTCGCATCGCAGATCACATACAGAAAAGCCCAGAAGGCCAGTGGCTCATGCCCGGGGTGACAGTGTGACACTCACTGCAGGCGGGCGCAGTGCATGCGAGGGGTGCGCACTCAACCACGATATCTACTATTAAATTTTGCTCTGGAAATCAACAGCTGCCTATTACTTAATTTTTTCCTGCACTTTGCACACTTTGACCTATAAAAAAATGACATTACAAGGCTAATAAGAAGTGCACAAAGAATCCATCCGTCCATCCGTATTGTGTAACCGCGTGTGTAGCAGGGGTTCACGGTGAGGCTAGGGGCCAGTCCAAGGCAGTGGACGGCAGACGACTTCCTGAACGGGAAGCCAGTCCATAAGCGGGGAAATGCTCACACACTACGGACAACTTAATTATGGCCAGTCACCCTTCTGCTTGTGGGGAAACACTGGGAGAGCATGGGCACACAGGGAACGGGATTTAAGGCACTGGCATTGGGTGCGAGAGCAGTGCTAACCACTGTGATGAAGTACAAAAATAAGCTTCTACAAAATAATATTAATATTTGAATTTGGTAAACAAGAACGGTTGATAATCCCAATAAAATTCAGCTCAAATTAAAATTCCATTCAAACCAAAGGAATGAATGAACGGCTTAAATTACCTTTTCAATCCAATGATACCTCTGACATTTTCAGGTTACTTCCAAGGGGAAAAAAATCATATCACTGAAAGGCTAAGAATTTACGAAAATACGATTTTATTTTAGAAACAGGCAGCTGCATTAGCCACTTAGCGATCTGATCTTAACAGGTGTCAGCCCTTGTTATTAATGCAGACAAAACATTTGCACGCCACCATTACTCTCTGCAGCGGATGCTGAAAGATTTGGGCCAAAGGGCTAAAAAAAATGTATCATAGATATACTGCAGCTTCGCCATGTCGCCTCACGGGCAGCAAAGCACTCGGACTGCTCTGTCACCACGTAACCATGGTACCACGCGCTTCCGTAAACCGTCACTCTCAGCAACCGGCTGCTCAGACTCCATTTAGGATTTTAATGGATGGCATCTCTGGAGATTGAAGGCGGTCGGAACTGACCAATTTCTCAGAGTAATTAACTGTAAGTGATTTCCAGAATGCTCATCGAACGCGATGACATCCCCCCCTCCAAAAAAACCTCTTCTTCCCCAAAACAGCAACACCCTGAAATAAATTCCATTTTTAAAACTAGGTGTACAACTAAGAATAACAAAACAACATGTGTTTATGCTGGCATCTACCATTTAAGTAAAATTACTTTTCTAAATTGAGCATTTTTTATCGATTTACTGGTTAAATCTGCAGAATCATATATGCAAGGTGCACTGCATTTCTAAGAGACATGCGTCGAGAAATAGAAATAAATAATTATTTTCAGAGCAGCAGCTATCCTACAAGCCCCACCCCATCCAGCCCCCTACCCTAGGCGGCACAAGTTGCGTTTGATCCTGTGACAAACACAAACGATGAGCAGAAGAAAGAAAGAAAGGAATAAAATCACAAAAGGGGAAGGAAACAAAAAAATGACATTTGGTGCGTGAAAAGTGAAACAAAAAAAAAACAAAACAAAACAAAGTAAGCTATACTCTTATGTGTTGGTTTTAGATTTACTCAGTTCCTCTTTCCTTCGTTCTTCAGAAAAACTGAAAAGTACGATTCCGAGAAGCAGACAGAAAGAAAAAAAAGGAGTAAAGGAACAACAAAATCAATAAACAGATCATGCTGCAGCAATTTAAACTAATTACAATGTTGAAATCTATATCATAATTCTCCGCAATGCAAGATAGATCTGTGTCTGCATTGTAAGTAAACCACTTCACCCATTTTGTTGGTTAATAAGATTTCTGTATTTTTCTCATTTCAACTTTAATAAATAAATGATAACCATCCCAAACGTCATTAAAATATCTGTGATGGCAAATGCAACAGAACACCTTCATCAACATACGGAGGTGTGTGGAGACCTGAGGAAGATTAAACAAGCGGAACATAAACGTGTTGTAAAAAAAAAAAAAAAAAGCTTATTTAGCCAGGCCTGTCGGGGCAGAGTTATGGTCTGGGTAAGGAGGTGAATCTTACCCTGGAGGACTCGTAGGATGGACTGGGCTGGCCACCTGTGCCCCAGGAAGAATGGCTGCTCCTCTCATCCATTCCTGCCAAGAAGAGGGACACACACAATTCATTTACTAGCCTAAAAACAGCCACCTCTCGTCAGTCGGCTCAAACGCAAACACACTGAGGAGGGTGTGCATCCGGAGATAGAAACGAAAAGGGCGAGCTGGTCTACACCGCTGCCACTGCATTATGCTCCGGGATACAGCCACCACATAAACGGATGATCCATTCGCAGGGGGACCAAAAAAAAAAATATTTACTCAATCAATTCATGGAGAGTTTAAAAATAAAAAGGGGCTGCTGGAAATGGTGCCATACAGGCGGTGCTTTTGCACATGGAGATTCGCAGTGCTCCATAGCAGAAAAGCCCATCTTAAGGTCTGAGTCACCAGGGGTGTCTGCTGCAATTAATTTGAGAGAATATGGGGGGAAAAAAAACACAACCACACCAAGAACTGGTGACTAATCATTTAGTTCTGTTTTCAAAGGCTCTGCTTTCTGAGCATGCAGCCAATTAGTTGTACATAATTTATGTTGGTTCTCATAAATTGTGCAAAATTCCCAAACTTACATTAACACACTAACGTTGACTAACAGCAACTGGAACGAGGTCATCACATTACATTAAATCTAAACCTATATAGACAAAAAAAAAAAATATATAAGAACAAATAAACAATTCACTCCTGTATTTTAAATTGGTCACTGTGTTGTAATAAAGACAGTGCTTTTGACTAGCACCAAGCTAAGCTGCATGGCTGAATCCAAGCCACGTTGACATTTGCATCTGCCTGTGGTACAGAGACTTACAGGGCCATGACCAGAGTGGAAAAATCGACATCCCACCAAACAGAGGAACCTGTCCTCTGGGAAAGGAGCCGCGCTCTCGCTCCGTGGCTGAGCCCCACGCCACCCCCCCAAACAGCCTGCAGCACCCCTGGTGTCTTTGGGGACGCTGCCGGCTACCTCATGCACCACTGACATGTGCCGCCAGACGACACAGCATAAATATTCTAACCTATATCTAATTGACAATGCTTGACTTTCAAAAGCAGCACATCACAGTCTCGCAGGTCAGGCATTAAATTACACGCAGAGAGGAACCAAACAAACAAACAAAGTAATCTCAGCTCGCTGCCGATTTACAAATAGCTGAGAAAAGGATCATTTCTATTAATTCTCCTTTAGTGCAGAAATCAACCAGAAATACATTTCAGAATTGCTGTTATATATTAAGCATAATGGTTCACTATTCATACATTTTAAAAGATGTCATAAAATGCTATAAACTACTGCAGTACCAGAAATGCACTTACGGACAGAATTATATAGCTACAGTTCTTAAAGCCTCCCAGGGATTTTCACTTTCCTTTCTTTTAACAGTGCAAATCGGACCCCTCCATACGAACACCTACCGGATCCAAGCCGACGTTCAGCACGAGACACCACGCCCAGCAGAGGTCACCGAATGGCATGAGGAACTTCAGAAGACAAAGAAGCAGGTTATCGGGAACTGTAGCTTCTCCTCTGGCTATGAGATCACAACTCCAAAGTAAACGAGCGAGAAGCTTCATGCCCAGAGACTGTACCTGACGGGAAAGAGGGCTCCCTCAGCGGGCACGCAGTGCGGCTGCATGAACTGCAATATGCAGGGTGCCCACGCACCTGACCTCACTGGGTCAATTTCTAAATGTACATTAACGACATTGATGAAATAACTGATCAAGAATCGAAAGCTGACTAAAAGCCCTGTTGTTTCCAGACACTCCTGTCGTAAGTACAGCCTTATTAGTTACATTCAGAGTGTTTGTGAGGCAAAGCGAAAGACTTGAATATAGATATTAAATTGGCAGGAGGCCATAATCTCTGTTTGCCTATAGTGGTTTCAAGTCTGTCAGATAAGAGGTCACACATTTGTCTTATCTCCTACAGCAGCATGCAGATATATTTATATATGTACATTCATATCTGCCACTGTATTTATCAAATCCACTATATCAGCATGTCAGAGAGAAAAAATGCAGCCAAGAAAAATAAAACAAGGCGGATGACATCAGAGTCAACCCGAGAAAACAGAGTGAGCGTATAACGGCCTTGCAGAGTTGAGTGACCCGCAGATGGGCTGAGGACCACGGCGCTGAGGAATCACATCATGCCCACAGCTTTTCCTGTCACATTCTTTCCGCAGCTGCTCGACTGTTCAATTAAAAAAAATATACAAACTAAGGATAATCCAAAAACCCGTTTCTTTGGAAAGTCATGTTTCCCCGGGCCATACAAAAACAAACCCCAGAATCTGCATACATGCTAAAGCCAGGGAATTTGAAACAAATTTTTTTTTAAAAAAGAATTTGTTTAAGGGGCATTAAAGCAGGAACTGAAACCACAACGGAAAAAAAAAATCACACCCATTTGCCACAAAATTCAACGTACAGTATTATTTTCTATTTACTGCAATGTGGCAGTCATAGTAAAACTGCCCTTTACGTACACTGATAAAAGACAGAATATTACCCAGAGCTTTCCAGCCACAGACTTCACTGGAAATGGAACAGTGGCAAAGACTGAACACCAACACCAAATACCCTTCTTAGGGAGCTCCCTCAGTTTGAAGCTAAAACAGGACTGAGAGTGCGCAGGTACGATTACTGAGAAAACGAAACCAGCTTACGACAAAGGGCCAACACCTTGATACAGAAATGCATAACTCATACAAAAATCTTCTTATTCTACAATAATATTATTAACAAATAATAATCAGGTACTGAAATAAACGTAAAAACTTCCGCAAGGGTGACATGCTAACAACACACACACACTGCATCAAGGGACGATCACATGTCACAGATTCGCAGCTGATTAAAACTGCAAACACCCCATGCAGCCGCACGCACTCCAGAACCTCAGCAACTTCATCAATAACATGACAGGAAGCTTTGTTTACGTCTGTCACTCCATTCCCGTTGTTTGCCACGTCTGCTGGCTCGTTGAGAAGTATCACCCCAACATGCATCTACACCGGATTATCGCATCTGGCCGGTTTAGCAAAAATGTCCAAAAAAATCTGATTCTAAAAATCTAAAAAATTATTTATTTTTTATGGAAATATTATGGGGGGGGAAAAAAAGGGAAACAGTGCATAGGGTATGGGAACTCGAGTGTGTTCCTGGCCATATTCACCCAGTTTCACCAGTACAGGGACCTACATGAGCTAAGCCACACGCCATGATGGTCCCTCTGCCAGTACTCACAATCTCCAAGGCCAAGTACTTGGTAACCCTCTTCTACCTCCGCACCCAAAAGGAAGCAGGGCTAAGAATTTCCAAAAAGACAAGCACACCTGACAAGTCTGACACCCACCGAGAATTGCTCCTTCTCCCAGCCCACGTACGTGCCTACCGGCTTGCGACAGTGACACGGAGAACACGTCTGACTAGACGTAACATCATGAAGTCACTTCCTGGCTTTGTTATGTTTTGGTTTTTTTTTCCCCTCCCCCTGTCACAGCTAAGAAACAACATATTCTGCTAAGCAGCACAGCAGCTAACAGCTGGGGAGACCTCTAAGCAGAAACAGAATCTCCCGGAATGACTCTGGGATATGCAGCCACACAACGTCTCTCTCATCACACCACTTGGCCATAAAAGCATTTCTAAGTTAAAGTGAGGACGTCAAAACCTGAATGAATTCACACTGAAATACTGTGTAAAGGTGTAAATTTCATAATCTACTTTGAAAATAGTTTAATAAATACGCACAGAAAAAAGGAAAATGGCATCTAGTCCAGAGATGAGTCCTCACACAAACACACTGCAGATTTCAGCCACGGTCGAGCAGCAGGGGACAAACAGCCTCCTAGAGCCAGCGAAAGTAAAATATCGGCCTCCCCGCGCGATAACCGTCCGCCGTGTCAGATGTTAGCGGTCCCTCCTCCCTCCCCCAGCGATCTACGCAGTAAAAGGATGAGCCGTGAGGCTGACAGGCTGTGAATAAGGGAATGAAGGAGAAGCCGTGGGCTGAGGCCCCGATAAGGCGGCAGCGGGACCCGTCGCAGTGAAGTCAGAGGTGTCGCAGCACTGGAGCGCACCTGCGCTGGTGAGAAAGCGTGCGGGGGGAGGGTTTGTCAAGCCCATCGAGGCATCTTCATTAGACAGCCGCCGCGCTGCAGAACTCAGTCATCCGAACAGCGCTGTCAGGAAGAAAGGGATCGGTGGGTAGCGCGCGGTACGGCGGTGCCGCAGCGCTCAGATTAAGGCTCCCCGTATATCTGAGCGTGTCACGGAGGCTTTCCGGAAACAAAGGCGAGGTGAGACAACGGAACAAAACACATCAAAGGCCCCGTAAGGCAGGCCAGATCTGGAGCACAGCTTGCAGAAATTAACGGGTTTTTCTTTTTTTTTTTATTTCTCCAAGCTGTTCGCTTCTAGCCCTACGAGTCACACTCTCGTGATGCGTCTGCCAGTGGTGACAGACCCCCCCACCACCACCCTACACACACACCTACAGAAGCGCTGCACAAGCGAACACCCCGGGCTAGCAGTGTCAGGCCGTCTCCAGCTTCTCACGGGGTCCTGTTCCGACCAACGGTGACACCAGCCTGTGGAAGAGACCTCAGTGACGGGATGCACAGTGCCCATGCCAAAGAGAAACCCAACCCCCCCCCGGCCCCCACTAACTCATTCTGTTTCTCTTACCATGAAGAAAAGGCACCCCCCATCACTGACCCAGGCATCACGTTTCATGAAAACGTCACCCTCTGATGTCAGAGAGAGACGTCCTTCCCCTCACCTGACATCTGAAGTTAAGTACGCTTTGCAAATCCTCTAATTTGCGAGCATACACACTTTGCGTTGTCTTTTGCAAATGGGTGTGTTCCGCTTCTAAAAATGCCACTGCGACATGCACATTTAAGGTGAGATCCATCATTTACACATTTCTGATTTCTAACACCCCTTTTTCCAACGATCCTGCGGGGCTGCAAAAAGGTAAAAGGAGCCGTATGTGGTGGCAGAACTGTACCGTGACCTGTTAAAAAAAA